ACATGGATGACACCAAAACATATCTCATTTCAGAGTCCCGTGCAGGCTTTGATAAACTGTTCCAGCCGTTGCTGTTACATTGGACGCGACTACATGTTGCCGGCTTACAAGCCTTCTTCCGCCTGTGGAAGGCGACTGCCGCCGAGGAAGAAGACTTGGACAAGATTATTGAGCTCGTGCGTATCCTAATTGAGTCGGTGGTTGGCGGAGCTGCTCGGATCAAGGATGTCCAGGATGTCGAAGAGGAGCTGGCCGATTTCGAATACCACCGATTGCGCGGGCTGCAGATGGAACTCCTTGAACTTACGTACGAGGATGCATGGGGCCAGCACTTGCGACAGGTGCGCGAGGAACTTCACCATGAGGCTCTCCAGTTCGTCAAGGAACAACGAATCCGATCTTTGCTCCAAGGTAGCTGGTTCGCTCTGGAATCTCACTCCAAGTCGGAGTCGGGGGCAGTGCAGAAATCGACTGCCACATATCAATATGCCCAGCTCTCTCATAACCGACGATACTTGCATTTCGGTCAATTCGACCTGATGGGCGACCGAGCTCCAGAGCTGGACACCCTACCAGAGAAAAGTGAGTGTCACCGAGTGCTTACCTATAACCACACACCCACACACCCACACACATATAATCTTGTATTTGTTGCTGACAGCGGGCCGTTCCCTCAACAGTCGATCTCTCAATCGTATCATCCGTAGTCTCCAACGTCTCCACCAACCCAGACCATTCCTCCACATCCACCGTGAAGACTGCACCCCGTCAACCCGCAACGAAGATCACCATTCACGGATATGCGACTTCCTCAGCCACCGGTCACGGAAAAAATCACAGTCACGCTCGGTCCAGCAGCAGGACCACCCAAAAGGAGGTAGTCCTGCTCACGCTGCGGCCCTCCTCGCACAGCATTGCGTCCGAATGGCTGGATGGTCTGCTGATGCTCCTCAACCAGCAACCCATTACGGCAGAGACAAGCAAGCTGATTGACCTGGTCAGCAATTATGGGCTGAAAATCCGCCTGCTCAATGTGCGGTTTGATGATGCCACTTTCGCCGGTGAGGCTCCCCAAGTCCCTGCGAGAGATGGCTTGGATGAAGATTATTACTATGACGTATTTGGAGGTGCATAGGGAGTACTTGACTCTATATAGGTTTCTTTTCTCTTTTCTTTTTTGGTTATTAGGGGGATTTTGGTTTCTTTGGCTCTGCCGACTCAGATTCTGGTCAATATACCCGTTGTGCGATTTGTCTTGTTGTGATTTATTCTAATTCTAACATATAATTTAATCATTACATCTATATCTATACATCTATCTAATTTATCTAATCTATATGTACGTATATGCGTGTAAATAGTATACATGTACGGAGTATGGATGTATACTGGCAAATGGCCCACCGCTTGGCGTCATAAGCTTATCGGACCGCGTATCTCAACTTTCTCCAGGTTCTTGATCCAACTCATCATGGACGGTCGTCCTCCTAAAAGACAACGCAGATCCAAGGATTCAAAGCAAGAGCCGAAAATAAAACCACGAAATGCCCCCGTCATAATCTCAAATAGCTCCAGTCCTATCGAACCAACAGAACCCTTTGCTCTCTCCTCACGCCCAAAACCCTCCCGCAGCACAACACCATCAACCCGGCTTCCCTCGTCCTCACCTTCTCCAAATAAAAAGAATAAATCGTCACCAAAACCAGACTCAAAATCCAAGTCCCTGCACAGCTTCTTTCATCCCGCAACAGAGGGACAACGATGGGCACCCCAAAAGACCGAGAAGCAGTCCCTACCGCCGGTCAGGGAGACTGTCGACGTGGACCTGATTGAGGATGATTACGATTCCTACGATGAAATATTCACACAACATCTAGCCAATGAGCGGGCGGCAACGAGCTCCAGCCAGACGCGTCAGCCCGCGCCAAAGCCCGCGCCAAAGCCAAAGGCCCCAGTTAAACCGCCGCGGAAGACGACAAAACGGTTCCTTCTGTCTACAGACCCTGGGAATGGTACCGCGAAGGGGCAATTAGCTGCGCAACCAGCCGGCGAACCGGACCGTCGACCATGGGCTCAGCGGTTCGCACCGGTCAGCCTAGGCGAATTGGCCGTTCATAAGAAAAAGGTCTCAGATGTACAGCATTGGCTGGAAGATGCTTTTGCTGGGAGGCGTTCTGAGGTGAGTTTTTGATCGGCGGAGGATAATTTGGGGTTTGATTTGAGTACAGTTCTGATAATATGCAAGAGATTACTCGTCCTACGTGGTCCAGCAGGCAGTGGGAAGACGACCACTGTGTCCCTGCTCTCCGAGTCACTTGGTTACGACATTATCGAGTGGAAGAATCCGCCGGTTTCGGAATTTGGAGCTCACGATTATCAATCTGTGAGCGCGCACTTTGAAGAGTTTCTTGGACGCGGCGATAAATTTGGAGGGCTTGATCTCGAAAATACCAGCGAGCTCGATCCTAAGAAAAATGAGAGATCTCGGGACCAGAGGATACTTCTTATAGAGGAGTTTCCAACTGTGCTCGGCCGGGTGTCCTCCGCCCTCACGGCATTTCGGGCGTCTCTTCAACGATATTTGGCCGCCTCTGCGAATGATAATGCCCGGGGCGGTTCTGGATTGAATCACCCGCCCATCGTGATCATCGTATCGGAGACCTTGTTGGGATCTGCGTCCTCAATCTCAGATAACCTGACAGTTCACCGGTTATTGGGGCCCATGATCTACAATCACCCCGGAACAACAATTTTGGATTTTAACAGCATTGCACCTACTTTTATGCACAAGGCTTTGCGGTCTATTTTGGACAGAGAGGCACGGAACTCCCGACGTGTCCAGATACCTGGACCGGGTGTTATAGACAGTATCTCTGAAATCGGCGATATCCGCAGTGCAATATCCTCTCTCGAGTTCCTCTGTCTTAAGGGGGACGATACGGGGAGATGGGGAGGCAGTGTGGCCAAAAAAAAGAAAGCTCGAGGCGAGGTTGCCTTGACAGCGATGGAGAAAGAGTCTCTCAAGATGATAACTCAGAGAGAGGCGAGTCTGGGCATGTTCCATGCCGTTGGAAAGGTCGTGTACAACAAACGCATGGACCCGAGTCTAATCGAGGGGGATGTCGAGATCCTTCCACCGCCACCGAATTATCTGCGCCACTATGCCCGACCAAAAGCTTCGCAGGTATTGGTCAATGATCTGGTCGACGAGACCGGGACCGACATATCAACATTCATTAGTGCTCTCCATGAGAACTACATCCCATCCTGCGATGGGGATAATTTCACCGACTGTTTCAACGACTGCATCGACGCACTCTCCGATAGCGATATCCTCAGTGCCGACCACCGATCAGGGCAAGGGGCACGGGCCGGGATCGGAACTGGAATTACCTCTTTCGGCAGCGGCGTCGATGTGCTCCGGCAGGAGGAAATGAGCTTTCAAGTTGCGGCGCGTGGTCTTCTTTTTGCTCTTCCATACCCTGTCAAGAGACGGGTTGGGTCTGGAACGGGACGAAGCCGCGCAGGCGATGCGTACAAGATGTTTTACCCGGCATCTCTGCGATTGTGGAGAGAGGCGGAGGAAATCGATGGACTGATCGACACATGGATGAACCGAGCACTCGATCCTTTTGGACAGCATCTTTCTCAAACTGGCTCTGAGCTCACGGGCGTCAGTTCCTGGAAGAATCTCCAGGTGGGAAGGTCAGCATCGATCAATTTGGGGCAGAAAGATCACACTCCGAGTGTGGTCACAATGATGCCTCGACATGATCTACTACTTCATCAATTGCCTTATATGGCTGCAATCCGGCGTCAGGACCCAGATTGTTGGCAATTAGATAAGATCACCAGCATTCGCACCAACGATAATCTTCGTAATGACAGCATGGACGACATGGAAGAGTCTCCGGTACTGTCGCGTGTGAAACCACCCAGCAGTAATGGGTTTGGAGCTCGACTGCCTGAACAGGAAGAGAAATTGATTCTCAGTGACGATGATATTGTCGATTAACATGTGTATCATAGTGAATTGTTTTAATGTGAAGTCTACTATGGAGTACATAGTCATACCGTGTACTATGTATGTACCTATACGTCCTATTTGATCTGCCGCTTTTATGAGCTCAGGCTCAGGCTGACTGAGTGGATATCAGCACGAACTCAGATTAGTGATAATTGACGGAATCTTCCAACCTTCCAAGGTTGGAAATCTGTCTGTATTGCCATGTTTCAAAGACCTCGAACGATAGGTGTTTCTAAAGCCAGCTAAAAATATACTCTGGGATTAGATCATACTGATGTCAATAGTAATGAACTTGCTGAACACGAAGGATCAGCAGGATCAATCGAGAATTGCGATTTAAGAAATCAAAATTCTTGACCCAAGGCAAACCTTCGTGATGACGTTAATCAGGTCCGTCGCGCCACCGAGCAGCTATTGCTCCGCGGAGGCGACAATGCAACAGTGTGTTCATATACTAAGCAAAGCGACCATCTCTTACTACTTAGGTAGTAACTTATACAGATGCTAGCTTATATGATAATTTTCCATGTCTTGGCTGAAGAGTGTCCGCTGATATATACGTATACCCATCCTAAACGGAAGCTGCGTAGGATGGGCATCTACAAGCGACGGCCGCAGTTGAATCTATCCGCTCGCTTCACACCGCGCATATATTATCCACACTATATATTGCTAAAGCTCAGATGAGAAAGAAAGGACTTGAGACTTCAATTAGTTCGACGGAATATGTTTCATAACTCCTTTCGGTCCTTCCCTTCCTTGCACGACACTAGAAGTACTCCGCGCGATACTTTTATCGGCTCACAGCCCTTTGTATATATCCACCGCTAATGGTACATATAAAGGTAATAGCCGTTGACCTTTAGGCAATTTGTTTGTTCCCGTCCTGGAAGCAGCAAGGCTCGCAGCAAGCTGAAAAATATCATCCTCCTTTGCGTAATGCCTTCATGGGTGGTTAGGAATGGGGATACTGTCAGATATATCTAAATCCACGGAAATTCCGAAAGATCTTATATGCTCCATGCAGTGTCGCACACATACCACCACCCGCAGTAGCCCAGGCAGCTCCCTGGAAGCGCAAGGAGTTGATCGGTATATTCTGTTTCTTTGACGGACCTATGCGTTTTCCACTTAGCTGAACTGCATGATGTGACCGCACTGGGACGATTACTAGGATATATTACATACCTCTGGGTACAGGCCACGATCGTCTTGGTAGTCTCCCGACCTGTGAATCGAGGAGTGTTTGGAAATCGTTGATTGGTGAGGACATCTCTCAGATTTGAGTATGTGAGTAGTTTCTTAGTGGATGGTCTGTTTCAACTTTTATTTTCCTATGTTGCGATGCTACGTATATATATATATCCTGGCATATAGCTATAGCTAGCGATTGGCACCCAATGACATCCGAAGGCACATCATCTGATATGTTACATACAAACAGCGGTTCTGGTAACCTGGCGTTCTTAGTTATAATTCGCTCTCTCACTCGGGATCCGTGGTTAACTATACAAGGGCTTGATATCTGACCGTGGGCCTACTGTCCTCCATGCTGTGGCAAAGGTACTTGAACTCTAGAATCGGTATCGGCAATAGCTTCCCAGTAATTCGTGGATGGTTTTACTTAGCGATCAAAAAGCGGCAAGAGGTGAGGACTAAAGTGGAAAAGGAAAGGTCTCGACTGCCAGGCATTACCTACATAGGTATCTGGTACACATGTACATTATGTGTGTACATAGTTTGTATACTCCGTACTCCGCCTATCTCGTGATCCACTCTCTTATCTTCAGCCCCAGCTTTCTTCTTTTAACCACCTCGCCTTTCAGAGCCCTTCGAATCTCCTAGGTAAATTCACCTTCACAATTCATCTCAATGATCACTCACACTCCAATAGAATGCTCAATGATCACGAACCCTCGAAACGAGGACACAATGACTCCTACCTGATCAATCGCTCTCGAGTCTCCGTGAACACAGAGAACGCGAACCTCGCTTCGACCACGCCTCGATCTCGAAAATCCGAGGATGAGCTTGACTATGCTCAATTGAAGAAAGATGCCCCGGGCCTTGTTGCTGCCGCCGCCCATGCGGCGGTTCCTAGCTGGACAAGCATGGTCCTAATGGTCTCCCTTATCTTCGGGGGTTGCTGTGCCAATGTGGGTGTCAAGAGAATATCCAACGCTGCTATGGGGGTAAAACAGGACTGATCTTGTGTATAGGTCTTTGCACTAGAGGCGATCATCAAGTAAGTCAACAAGCCCGGCGAATCCAAACAGAACGCTAATCACATATCTTCTCTAGAGAGCAGCCTACTGCCGGTAAGCACGACAACCAGAACCAGCGCAAACAACCACATCGCATATCCTAACCAACCCCGTTCCTCGCATAGGCCCCTTGATAACATTCGCCCAATTCGTTATCTGCGCCCTCTTCACCATCCCAAGCTTCTTATCCCCCTCAGCCGGACCACGAGCCCTATTCCTAAACCCACGCGCCATCCCACTACGATCATGGGTGGTATACACCGCATATTTTGTGAGCGTGAACCTGCTCAACAACTGGGCATTTGCATACAAGATCTCCGTTCCACTACACATAATCCTCCGGTCTGCAGGCCCCGTCGCTTCAATGGTAATCGGCTACATATACAACGGCAGACGCTATTCCCGTGGCCAGATCGCATCGGTAGGTATGCTGACAGTGGGCGTGGCAGCCGCCGCCCTGGCCGACGCGCAATCCAAAGGTGTGTCTCTGCACGTCGACTCTGGTGCGACAGACACAATGACGACTGTGACGGGCTTCACCATCCTCGCGCTCGCGATGGTTCTCTCTGCGTTCCAGGGGATCTATGCCGACCGACTGTACGCAACTTACGGCAGGGATCATTGGAAAGAGGCGCTTTTCTACTCGCATGCGCTTTCCCTGCCCCTTTTCTTGACGAGTTATCCGCAATTGCTGGGTCAGTGGCGGGTGGTGGCTTCGTCGCCTTCTCTGCTGTCGCATTTGGATTCAGAGCTGTGGGTGTCGAAGAGTGCGGTTGGGGGCACTGCTTTCTCGGTGCTGGGGCAGATCTGCCAGATTGAGGCCGTGAAGGCTTTCCTGGCGCATCTGCCGGTTCAGGTGGCTTATCTGGCGATGAATGCACTGACGCAGTACCTGTGTATCCGGGGAGTTCATCTTTTGTCGGCCAAATCGTCGTCGTTGACGGTTACTATTTTCTTGAATGTCCGCAAGTTGGTTTCCCTGCTCCTGTCGATCTATCTCTTCGGGAATCATTTGGCCGGGGGTGTCTTGGTCGGCGCGACTCTGGTGTTTGTCGGGGGTGGACTATATGGCTTTGAGGGAGCGCGTTTACGAAGCGTTGCCAAAAAGACTCAGTGATATTGCATATTAGATGGGGTTGGACCAATGTATATCTAGACAAAAATTCATTTTGCATATGATGTCTCGATCTTACAGCTGGTTATACTTCCAAGAGGCGACTGATGTCACGAATAGAAAGGAAAGATATATCGATATCATGTGCAGGCCGCAATAGTTGTACATAAATTGAAGATAGAAGCAACATCGTCCACCCAATTAGAGTGGAAAGGCGTCAAGCATGACGCAGAATCAAGATCACCCAGGCTAACCCCCGAGCCAGATCAAAATAATAAAAACAGAGAACCATCTATAGCACCTCGCCCACAATCTTGGCAGCTTCCTTGTATGTTTCCAATAGCCGCTCACACTTCTCTCTCTCAGCCTTGATGCCATCATCCTCGTAGAGAAGCTCGCCGAAAAGATCTTCTTTATAAAGTTCGCTCACGAGTCTGTTTTGCACTACGTCCTTGCAGTGATTGACAAGGAGGTGCATGACAGCCTTGGGAACCTGATCTGCAATGGTCTCTCGAACAATGTTAAAGTATGATGAGATGAGACGGCGAATGAGCTCGGTTTCGAGCATCTCACGGTCCGTAAGTGCAGGCTCTGTGTTCTCATGGGGCTATAAGAGTGGAGGTCAGTTAAATGCATGTGAAGCTTAACAACGGCTACGCGGTGGTACTTACGAAGGCGGAAATTTCACCGCCGTAGTCCGGTGGTGCGGTGTACTCCTCAGTTGGCATAATGGGAGCCCGAACCTCGGCACGCCGAATGCTCTGGCTAATGCTGGGCTCAGCAGCATGTGGCCCTTGCCGGTTGGTGTTCATGCCTGCTGGCGGCATGGCCATGTTGTGAGTACCTTCTTTGCCGAAGAAGTAGTTCAGGAACGAGTCCCGGGCAGTGTTTGAGGCACCACCGAAGGCAGCATGGTTTGATTGAGCGCCATTCAGAGTGGCAGCAATGCCATTCTCACCTGTGCGGCCAACGTGAGGAGACATGCTCCGCGATCCCTTAGAGGAGTGGCTTCGAATGGGAAGGTTTTGCTTGTCAGAATGTTCTTCTTCGTCGGGACCTCCCGTAGTTCCATTGGGAGCTCCCAATTCCTTTTGACGTCGCTTCTCGCGCTTTCTTTTTTCCTCTGCTAGTACGGCTTTTCTTTCTTCGTCCTGCTTGTTCTGCATGATTGAAGACATGGCAGCTGCGGCGCCAAGGAAGTTCGGGTGGTTGGTGTTGATGTAAGCTCTTTGGATTGAGATCAAAGATTCTACGTAAGTCGAACAGGGGCCCAGGCGCTCACGAAGAAGGTCAGATACGACCTCAATTAGCTTTCCTTGGAGACGAGGGAAACGCAGGAGTTCTTGATTGCCACATGTGTGGCAGATCTTGATAAGCTCCTCATAAACCAACTCCACGCATCGCTGACTGGGCGATTCGAGGAGTTTGATCTGTGGTTTCACTAGCAAATCAAAGGCTAACTCCGGAACAAACAGACTCGGGCGAGGACCTGTCGAGTTTCGGATGGCCGTCCGGATGTCGGAGGTAGTCAGGTTATGAGTGGGATCAATTGTTTCCAGTGAGTTTCCGAAAACAGAGTTGAAAATGTAGTAAATTCTTGCTCCACCGCATAGCTCTTTGGTAGAGATCTCCGATGAAGTTCCGTCGATAGATGAGATGAATGAAGCGGCGAATCTGGTCATCTGCTGAAGAATCAATGATCCCCGGTGTTCTTCACCACTGAACTGTTTGTTTCCATAGCTGGCCAATTCTTGCTGAGTTTGACCCATTAGGGTGTTCAGCCGAGCCTTGATATCCGGAAGCCGGTCTCGAATGTGAGACATCAGGGTTGTGTTCAGGGTTTTGGCCAAAAAGTGTGTACCGCAACGGTTGGCCATATTCCTGTAAGCTGGGTGATGCCGGAAGAACTCAGACTCTGCCCGCAACGCATCGGAGAGCGATTTTCCAGACTGGATATCCTGCTGAGACCGGTTGACAACACCGATAAATCCAAGCTTTAGAGGATACACGCGTCCAGATAGGATGTCCATCGCATTGGTACCATGGTCCATAAGATCCAGCTTTGATAGCACACCAATCGTCCTCCGGCCCATTGCATCCACCTGGCGGGCAAGCTTCAGCGCCTCGGAATTGACCAAATCGACATTCGCCGGAGAGACCGCAAGGATAATGCTGTTCGGTTTGGCGATGTATTCCAGAATCAAGGTACGTGTTTGTTTTTCGATATCAGACGGTTGGTCGCCAATGGGCACTTTCGTCAGTCCAGGCAGATCCACAAGGGTGAGGTTGAGCACATGGGGCGAGAAGATCTTGAGATTGATCGGTTGCCTATTGATGCCCTTGTTGCTTCCTGCGATCCTTGCCGTCTCCGCTTCAATCTCTTGCTTCACTTGTCCAAAGTCATCAAACTTGCGCCCCGGAAGGTGGTGGAATTCGGCCCATTCGTGTTGACCGGCAACACTAGCAGCCGTATGCGGGATATGAATCTCATCGTTTTCCGGCTTATCATCACGTTCACTGGGCACGTTGATAAGCTGCAGGATTAGGGGCCGTCGGGTGACAATTCCACTACCTCTTGGTAGAAAGTCCCTTCCGACTATATTCTCTAGGACCGAAGACTTTCCGGATGACTGGGAACCAACAACAACCTAAGAGGGAGGTGGGGATTAGTCTTAGGTTGACCGGGTATCAAATGACGACTCTCCCTCTCACAACCCCGAGAGCTCTCTACCTAACCAGACTCACAATTTGGGGCAAATCCAAGGAATCATTCCCAATGGTATTGAAGACCAGATCCTGAAGCTTGTTCACTGTCACGAGCAGATCCTCACCCAGCGATGTCATGATGTCGAACTGAAGGCAGGCACCTTGAGACGCAGAGGTAAGAGTTAGGGCCCGGAGTTAACAAAAGAGGAAAAGGTAAAAAAAAAGGTACACGCAAAAGTGAAAGTCGCGTGCAAACGGTCACGGGGATCCCTGTAGGCCTAAGCAACTCTCTCCTTGGAACCTTGGGAACATTGTTTATGGCCACTTTTTCGGCACACGTGATGCTGATGTAAGCAGGTGCTCCCGGTCATGACGTCGTTGATTCGATACAGATACTACGGAGTACATCAAGAACAGAAAGGATATAGGATAGGAAGTATAAGAAGAATAAGACAGATGTCCATCTATAAGGCAAATACTTATTCGAACGAGCTTTATTAACTCGATTCCGTTTGAAATTGGTAGTGAACTGGGTATTTTGATACTCGAGAAGAATCCAGGATACATACATAGTTAGATCTAATTCGGCGAATCAATAGAATTTGAATGTCCCCCTTGTCGCATTGCTCAAGTTGGAGTATCTATGTATGATCCAATCACTCGTCCAGTTGAACGTAGTTGGCAGGGAATAGACCTTGCTTGCCATTGTACTCACCAAGCCACCAGTCATCATCCGGGAATTCCTACACTCAGGTTAGCACTGTACATAGCGATAGCGCAAAGGCGTAAAGGCCGAGAAAGACAGGGATTGTTCCACTTACCACGTTGGTAATCTTCACGCCTTCAGGGAATCCGATCTCGTTATCCTCGGCGGCTTCATAGTCATACAAAGCTGTAGCTGTGACACCCTTGGAGCTGGGAGTAGCCGCCGACGGTGCAGCAGCCGCGGCAGGGGTGGGTGCGGCTGGGACGGAGGCAGTAGCAGGCTCTGGCTCTGGCTCTGGCTCTGCTTCATAATGGTGGGAACCAGCTGTTGCGTGTGACGCGGGTTCGTTGTCTTCCACAATCTCCACATAGTTGGCCGGGAAGAGACCACGCTCACCCTGAGCATTGACACCTACCCACCAATCCTGGTCCACCATTTCAATGTCGGTCACATACTCTCCCTCTCGCAATTCAATCTCATTATCCTCGGCCTTCTCGTAGTCGTACTGGATCAGAGCTCGCGGTCCGCCTTCGGGTTGCTCATGCTGCTGCTGAGGGGCAGTTTCTTCGGCCGTAGCACGGCCCAGATCGTGAGAATCATCCTCAATATCTCTTTCGTCTGGAACAACCTCTTGGAGGCTCCGAACAGGCATAGCAGGGGGAGGAGAATGCTGTTCCTCGTGGGCATCCGTAACGCTGTCGGCGGCGCTGCGGCCAACCGGCATGGCAATTTGAATCGGCGAGCTCTCACGCACCGGGGGAGTGGGGGGTGTCGGGGAGCGAGGGGGCTGCGGTGGGGGAGTAGGAAGAGCCTGGTGGGCGTCATTCTCAGGTTCGGACTCGATAGGCCCGGAGGATAGTCCTGGTACAGGAACAGGGCGACTGGCCTGTGGAACAGGAGGAGCAGGAGGAGCAAGTGGCGCGGGCGCAGGTGCAGGCGCGGGCGTGTCATGGGCGAATTGGTCACGAATGTCACTCACATGAGGTTGCGGTTGGTCCTCTTGTTGATCATTGGCCTTTGCATCAACAGGCTGTTCGGGAACATGTGATTTATCCTGTGCGGTTTGAACAGGAGCCCAGGACTTGCCCGCGTAGGAGCTCTTCCACTCGGTCTGGCCACTAGTTTGGCTTTGAATCGGGGCAGGGGTGGGGGTCGGGGTAGGCTCGGTGCTTCCGGATGACGAAGCCACTCCGCGCTCCTTGGCCTTGCGCTCTGCCCAGATTTGAGCTGGTGTCTTGCCCCCTCGTCAGCAAAAGTACGGCTTGCAGCTCCAATCTGTGCGCTCGTGGTTGGCTTAGGCCCCAGACCAGTTGGGAGGGGTGGCTTTGTTCCTGGGAAGGAGGGGCTAGAGCCAAACTTGTTGGCAACCTTTGGTTTAGGTAGGCTGGTCAAGCGCTCCGAGGCAATAGAGGGCGCAGGTCGCTCGGGCAAGGTTGTTGGCTGTTGGTTGACGGCGGTGGTTGGTGTGACATTGTCACTGGTGCCTTCCGGCTTCTGTGCTCTAGCTCGAATGGCAGCGATGTCAACTTTGCCAACGGGTTCATAAGAGCCCTTGATAATTGCCGGGCGCTCATCTTTCAGCTGACCGGATGCGGCAGCTTGCTTCCGAATTGCAGCGATATCAACTTTACCCACTGGCTGGTAACCACCTTTAACCACGTCGCTAGAGTCATCCGAGGCGGTAGCGGCAGATTGGCGACTCGCTGTGGGGTTTGCCTTGAGTTCTTGCAGGTTCACTCTTGTGGGCTGGTAAGCCGGCTGTACCTTTTCCAATTGCGTGCGAGTCACGGGAGGGGCATCTGCACCCCATCCATCATCGTTCAGGCCAGCTCTTGAAGGTGTGGGCTGTGTGCGGGTAACTGGGCTGGGGGTGATACCCCCAGATCGAGTCGGTGTGAAAGCAGGCTTGCTAGCCACGGCAGGCCGGGGGGCTGGGGTTGGGGCAGAAGCCTCGCCTGCTGAATACTTGGATCCAGAGGAATCTGCCACCCGCTGGACGATGCCCTCGGGGCTCAGGTCCCCATCTGCTCGGGCTGTGATCTGCACATGGTATCCCTATCCAGCTGAGTCAGTCTCACACCGCAGGAGTTGCGTCATAAAAAGGAAACTCACATGAAGGAACTTGGCAACTGCAGCCAAGTGGCTGGTAAAGTAACCCTTTGTTCGCTCCGGCACACCTTCTCCACACCAGCCAATGAGAACGTTCTTGGGAAGACCGGTGTTGGAATCCGTCACCTTCACAAAGGCGAATTGCACCCGCCCTTCGGAAAATTCCTCGATGAGATCGGCCAATTCACCCTCTGATAGTAGGATTTGTCAATGTGAGATAATGGGGCTTGGAGGAGGGGGGAATCACTAACCTCCGGTGCTCTGAACCTTAAGGACACTCTCCTTGCCTCCATCGTGCTGGAAGGCACTGACAAGCGGGGTAGAAACCGAGTAGACAGCCCATTGGCCATAAGTGGGAGACCCATTCCCAGACGGGGGTGGTGCATTCACCACTGTCTGATAACTTTTCGATATCGAGGGGCCATTGGACGAGAGATTGAGAGAAGCCATGACTTCCGGCGGATAGGCGGGGAGAGGGAAGGGGAAGCTTGTCAAGTTTTGGATGTGTCCACGTGGGAGGGGTGTTTGCTTTTTTTGTTGTTACAATATCTGTATCTCATATGCAGTGTTAGCGTAAAGTGGTCAAATCTCTTATTGTGGTGTGAGATAAGTTGGAGGTGTGGATAGATAGGAGAAGACGGAGTTGACGTAGGTGGACTCTATTGTAAACACTGACCGAGCAAATGGAAGAGGAAATGGAATAGGAGCAACAGGGGATGAATTGCTTTCAAGATGAGGATATTGCGACAAAGGATAAGTACAGAATCAAGGGAAAATATTGAGAGAAGGAAAACGATGAAGCCTAAAGGTGGAGAGAGAGAGGGAGGGAGAGGGAGAGGAGAGGTTAGGGGAAAGGTGGTGTAATATATTTCGTATAACCAATACATGCATGTACTACTAGTATATACATAGTTATAGCTAACTATGTATATTAGCTTCACCTTATAAATATATATAAATGTATACTACATAACGTTAGAATAATCTGGAAATGGTTATTGGATTCAGTGTAAATGGAATACAAATCAAATCAAAATACCCCACCTAATAGAATCCCAAAGCTACTATAGTAATAGTTGGAGATGTATACTGATTACTATGTAGATGTATTTATGTGTATGTATTTTACAGGTTCTCCAGGCCTGGACTTCCTCCCCCCCAATTCTCACCGACAGTGGGGGAGCTTGAGCTTTTGAGAGAAGATTTTTTTTTTTTCTTTTCTTCCGTTTTTTCCGTTTTCTCTTTTCTTATCTCTTTTGGGTTGAATATCTGCTTTCTAATTATTCTAATTCAATTACTTTCTTCATTTGAAATCACGTTGACTTGGGTGTGAAACCCCAAGCCAAGTTATTGACTTTCCTCAGTTATACAAGGTACACACAAGATATAGCAAGGGGGGGAAAGCAGTCATGGGACCTCCTCAATCCGATCTCAGTTCCAGTCGGAATGCCAACTCGGCCGCTGGTTCCTCTAACGATGAATCAACTACTTTATCTCCGACTCTCAAGGGTCCCGTGGACTCTCCTCTCCATGAAAGCCCCAATGCCCTAGATCAGCCCGCAGAGGATATTTTGCCCAGAGATCAACAGCAGAAAACGGCCACCTATGACTATGCCTATGAGAAGTCGATGAGTCACGCCGAGTCAAGACTCTTCTACCAACATCATCAGTTATCCGCGCGGAACGACACCAACCTGCCTTTGAGCCCAGTGGCCTCAGCCCGCTCAGCAGCCGAACACCTGGAAGCCTCACCGATCAACCTCCCGGACCCGATGAACACTCAAGGCCGGGTCTCTCGCGAGGGATCTATGGTCTTCGAATCCGAACCCTCGACACTACGCCTGCAGTCCGCTAATGAGCCCGATCCCTCTGCGTCCCATTACCTCGAAGATGATGAAGATGAGGCGAACCTTTCTGCCCGAAACCAGGCGGCGCTTCTAGGGGCTGCCCTTGAACAGGGACCATACTCGGTGGAGAATCCGCAAAGCGCCGGTGTGGGGATTGGGGGCCCTCAGGTTGTTAGTGGATTTGCGTCTAGCAGTGATGCTGTGACGTCTGAGCTGAATGCTATCTACTGCAAAATCAAGAAACTACTTGATCTGAGATCTCAATACATGGAGCTTTCTTTGCAGGGACCCGGCAATGACCCAAAGGACCAACCGGACTGGGAGATCTATCCTCCGCCTCCAGAACCGGCGTGGGATGACGGCAAAGAATACCAACCTGGCAACCTTGGTGACCCATCTGACCTTGGAGGAAAGAAGAGGAAAATGGGTCAAGACATTGGCGAGGATTTTGACATGGAGGAATTGATGCCTCTGCCCAAAGAATCATCGTGGACGTACAGGCTGGATGGCAGTAGTGTATACCAGGTCTTTGATTCTGAGGCTGCTGCTGACCAGCAGACACCTGTTGTCCAGATTCCCTCGTTGCGTGATTTCTATATGGATCTGGACGCTGTTGTGGATGTGTCGACCGATGGACCTGCTAAGAGTTTTGCGTTCAAGCGGCTGTCGTACTTGGAGGGCAAATTCCAATTGTATACGCTGCTTAACGAATACCAGGAAATGGCAGACAGCAAGAAGGTCCCTCATAGGGACTTCTACAACGTGCGCAAGGTGGACACCCACGTTCATCATTCGGCATGCATGAACCAGAAGCATCTTCTTCGCTTCATCAAGAGCAAGATGAGAAAGTCCCCGGACGAAGTCGTTCTTTTCCGAGATGGAAAACATCTGACTTTGAAAGAGGTCTTTGAGAGTATCAACTTGACTGCTTATGACTTGAGTATTGATACTTTGGATATGCACGTAAGTCCCTCATAACACATCCCTTGTCTTTGATTCGTCAAAGTCTATAGATGAAGGAAGATGCAGTCTGAAAATATCAGTATTTGCTCGCCCCCCCCTACGCTCACTCTTAGGCCACAGGTATTACTATTACTATTACTGACTCAGACTTCATAGGCACACACCGACTCTTTCCACCGATTTGACAAATTTAATTTGAAGTATAATCCGGTTGGAGAATCCCGACTGCGTGAAATTTTCCTCAAAACAGACAATTACATCAAAGGTCGCTACCTTGCAGAGATTACCAAGGAAGTGATCTCAGACTTGGAATCTAGCAAATACCAAATGGTGGAATGGCGAATCTCGATCTACGGTCGTTCCATTCAGGAATGGGACAAGCTTGCGGCCTGGGTGGTGGACAACAAGTTGTTCTCGCCTAATGTCCGCTGGCTCATTCAAGTGCCTCGTCTCTATGATGTCTACAAAGCAAGCGGCATGATGGAGAACTATGAACAAGTCATCACCAATGTCTTCCAGCCGTTGTTTGAAGTGACCAAGGATCCTTCTAGTCATCCCAAACTCCACATCTTCCTCCAGCGAGTTGTTGGATTCGACAGTGTGGATGACGAAAGCAAGCCCGAGCGCCGGCTGTACAGAAAGTATCCCATCCCACGAGAGTGGAACACCAAACAGAATCCCCCTTACACTTATTGGTTATACTTCATGTTCGCCAACATTGCCTCCCTCAACAACTGGCGGAAACGCCGAGGATTCAACACATTTGTTCTACGGCCTCATTGCGGAGAGGCAGGCGACCCGGATCATCTGGCTGTCGGCTTCCTCTGCTGCCACAGCATCAGCCATGGTATCTTGCTGCGCAAGGTACCTCTCCTGCAATACCTTTACTACCTGGATCAGATCGGCATTGCTATGTCACCACTTAGTAACAACGCTTTGTTCCTCACGTATGATAAGAACCCCTGCGCTACCTTCTTCAAACGAGGACTCAATGTGTCTTTGTCCACCGACGATCCATTGCAGTTTGCATTCACAAAGGAGCCTCTCATCGAGGAATACTCAGTCGCAGCACAGATCTACAAATTCAGCGCAGTTGACATGTGCGAACTCGCCAAACATTCAGTTGACCAAAGTGGATTTGAACTCTCCCTGAAACAAAGATGGCTCGGCTCGAACTGTTCCATTCCTGGAACCGCTGGCAATAATGTTGCAAAGAGCAATGTACCAGATATTCGCGAGGCATTCCGACATGAGACTTTGCTCGGAGAATTGTCCCTGTGAGTTGCTCATGATGTCTTTCGCGTTAAGGAAATGGGGCTAACCATACATCGTTTTCTTAGGATCGAGCGATACTCCGAGGGCAATGGGACCGGAGAGCAGAAGAGCTTGGCTCCAGGTCCACCAGGGGAGGTGGTGTCCTCGAATCATGGTAAATCTATCTCGAAGGAATGATCAGGAATTACGCGGCAGACTGACATTGAAAACCACCCCTTCTTAGATCAGTCCGCACAGAAACTCGAGTCGCGGTCTGAGCTAGGTTCAAGTGCAGCCAACACTATCGATGCCTCCCCCAGCGAGGCTCATGTTCCAAACCAGATGGCTACCTCCCCATCGACTCCATCGAAATACCTAGCTCGATCACCTCGCCTTGGAACGGGTGAGTTCTCTTCCAATGGCAGCCCTGCTCTCGGAGCAGGAGTTGGGGGGACAGATGGTCTACCAGAGCAGAAGATTTTCCCGGGCATCGTTCATGAGAGGGTTCGAAAGGGAAACATGCAATAGAATCACACGTGAGTGGGTTTTGGTGACACATATCACAAACTAGTGAGAGCAGATGGAGCACCTCCCTCTACTACTGCTAAGCATGATGGATTGGCTTTAGAACCACGTATGCGGGCCCCACCAAGATGTAGTGAGTGCAGAGAGGTAGGGCATAAATTGAATAGATGCCCTGCTAGATAGCTGATTTTAGTGCATTCAATTTAATGGAGTTTTGGTTGAGATATCTACATTTGAAATTAATACAATTGGGTGGGTGGCTACCCTGCTTAGGTTATAAATATACTAGGTAATCTAACTAATCAATTTACCTATATAGTAATCCTTCACGTTACTGCAAAAGATCTAACTTATAAAAAGGTTTTTATATAATCCCGTTCCTATTCCCTGATTTGTGTCCATAGAATTATTGATATCGTTATAGTGGAGTAGGAAGAGAAAGCAAGATATTGGAGCAATTGTAATTGAAACTAGCTCCCCACTCTCTCGATCAAGTTAAAAATCATAAAATCCATCGTCGGACACAATAGTGTCCCTGTAGTAGAGTATCATAAGAAATGCTCCACGTGCATAATTCCAAGCCTGCCGAAAAATAAAAAATAAAAAATCAAGAACGCCAGACCCAATAGCCACAGTATTGCGTGAATTTAATATGCACCCGTCTATATCACACATGCCCGCTTCTCAATCATAACATACAAATTAGGTCTTCCAAGTATTTCAAATGGCCCAGCTACCTCTCCGTTCTGGCAGTCCCCAGGCTTCAAGGTTGGTTTCTTCTTCAGCCATGCCAGGCTCTTGCCTCGCCCATTCCCGAATGTATAGACGGAGAGCTTTCCATCGTGCACAGGCATCTGCAAGATTATTCGCCTCCGGGGCTACAACATAGCCTCTAGCGTCAGTTTGCAAGTCGTCCCGACGAAGATCCTCAACGGAGATGCCCGAAATTCGGCTGAGTTCGTAATCATAAGAACGGGCAAGGCACGGGTAACCCAGAGACAAGTAATTATAAATTTGAGTCACAAATCCATCATGGAATTCGGAGTCGATGACTTTCTGGAGATTAGGGCTAGCCGGCTTGCGGGAACTATGGTTTCCAGGCGAAGCTGCGAGACGATCCAGATGTGTATGGGAAGGAGATGGGCTGAGTCCCATGCTAATGCCAGCCTCGTCGATACGAGGCATGGGGGTGACAATCCCAGGTAGGAGGCCGTGGACTTCTCGCTCTTGGCCCTCGTTCTTGCAACAAGTGCCCATCCAAAGACCAGCACCCTTTCCGCTGCCTCGAGGAGGGGATGCGTACCACAGGTCCCCGCAGCCATTACAAACATCATGCACGTCACGAGAAGCCACATCGGTACTGGAGTGCTCACATATTGTTCCCTCGGGTGAGGCGCTTCGTGGAATGACGATGTCATTGCCAAGCATGGGTGGGCTCTTGCGCTTCTTATTGTGCTCTGATGAAGGCTTAGGTTGTCCAGAGGCACCCATAGCCCGTATCCTCATTTCAGCCTCCTCCTTGTGGTGGCGCATGTACTCAAGTTCCCAGGACAAATCTGCCGAAGATTGTCGTCGAGACTTGAGATGATGATACTTCATTGACATATCATAATCGTCGGAATCTCCATCATCTTCGTCGATGGCAAAATGATCAACAGGCTCGTACACTTGTTCGTTGGGAAAGGCAGCCAATGCCTGCTCCTTCAGCTCGATCTGCGCGGATCGAGCAGCAATAGAGAGTAAGAATTCCGAGAGTTCTTCGTTGCAGATTTCACGAGGTAGGTTATTCGTGTGTAAGTCTCGTGTCGCTTGATTGGAAGGCCCAGGCGGTGAAGTGGACGCTGAATGCGATCTGGAGTTATCAGATTCTTCGCTGCTATCAGAGGGGATCGATGGAAGATCTGGGACTCGAAATGAGTGTCTGCGGGCTTGTTGTCGGCGCAGGATATTGGCATACGAAAATTGAGACTCGGATGGCAGATAAGTATGGGCATGGGGGTTTGGATCTAACCATGATGCCGTGTCTGGACAAATGGTTGTATCGGGTGCTGAAGATCCCACAGCATTGTGCCGTTGGGGAAACCGGACAGGTTTCCCTTTTCGAACCGAGTGGGTGGCAGTTTCTATCAGGTCGGGTTTGAATCTTCTTGGAGCCGTTGATGGTTTGCTATGTGACGCAGAATTTCTCTCGTGTACCTCGGAAGTCGAAAGAGACCGTCTATTACTAGCTTTGCTTGTTTCAATTGGTTCAGGTAGAAATCTTCTGATTGGTCGATGTTCACTGGGTTCTTTTGAATGTATTTCGGGCTTTGATAGAGCGGGTTGACTTGCTCCGCTCAAAGCTGGCCGTTGGACGTTTGAGCTTCGCGATAGGGTTTCGATGGGCTGGACCACGAATCTCCGAGGGACCCTGGGTGATGCTTGACTTTGTAAAAGTGTAGATCCAAGTGGTTGACACTCGTTAGGAGTGGTCAGATCTTGAAGTTTGTCTGTAGATTGACAGATCTCCCTTCCATTCTCCGTGGGCATGTCAAGTTTCCCATGTGCTTCTGGGGGATGGCCCATTGTCTAATCCTCGAAATCTATGACAGCTCTGAACATGCTATTGAATATGAAGGTGGTCGGCAGAGAATAAGCATCGGAAGGGAGGGGAGGAATCAGTTGATTTAAGACACTTTGGGTCTTATCGGTGTGTTTGTTTATGAGCATGCCATGCGGGGTCGAAAAAGCGGTCTCGATGTGAGAGATACCCAAAAAAAAACAGGGCGTATCCCGATGTATTGTATCAGTTAGTCATGCATGTCAAAAAGAAAGGGAAGTTGAAATTATATCACAGAGGACAAGGTATAAGAGCGTTGAATGGGTTGAATGGGTTGGGCTGCGAAGGAGGAAACATTGAACACACATCCATGGATACATGTTTCAAGATATGGTATTTGTTGTACCAAAGTGAAGCTTACTGTGTTACAGATGTACATAGGTCTCCATACAAAATAAAGTGGACCAATAGGTTCCCGTACCTTTCTGATGACATCAGCTTTGTTACAATATTACAATACACGATAAGGGGGAAAAGTTCCGATAAGAGATCCAGCCATTTCTCCTTCGCGACTTCTCTCGACTTCTTTTTCCTAACATATCTCGTCTAGTTCAACAATGGATTCTAAAGAAAAACGGAAATTTGATGGGAATACAGATGATCTTCAGCCCGGATTGGTCTCGAAGCAGCGGAAGGTAATCGGACCTTCTCTCCCTCCGCCTCAGGCCGACGCAGCACACAGTGAAACTAGCAAAGAAGATGACGATGATGACGATGACGACGACGACGATGATGATTTCGGTCCAAGCCTTCCTCCGTCTGGTCCACTGAAAGATCATGTGCAGCAAGAGCTTGCGGCTCCTGATATACCTAAACCAGTGGAAAAAGAAAGCCAGCGAGATCAATGGATGTTGCAACCTCCTTCCCATTCCGACTGGTCTTCCAAAGTCGACCCTACACAACTACGAAATCGCAAGTTCAATACAGGCAAATCAGCCACGGCGCCTAAGAACATGGACTCCTCATGGGTGGAGACTCCAGAGGAGCGAATGAGACGACTACAGGATGCAGTTATGGGCGTTGCTGCTTCAACCAATCAGCCCGGGGACAACAAAGGTGCTTCAAAAGCGAAATTGATGGAGGACCAAATCAAGAAATACAAGGTAATTTTTTTTTGGCATATACTTCCCTCGGAACGGCACTTCATACTTCATCCTCTCCGTGTTCATTGATTTGTTCTAATATAAGTGTTTTTGTTGTAGGACATGACTGGGAAGAACACTCGCTTAGAGAACCCAAATCAGGCTGAGAAAGAAGATGATGATCCAAGTGCGCGCGCATTTGATCGAGAGAAGGATATGGCAGTTGCTTCAAAGATATCTAGCGCCCAGCGCCGAGAGATGGTAAAGAAGGCCGCGGATTATAACACACGTTTTACAAAGGGCAACTTCTTATAGTTATTTCTAATGATCGCTATGTTTCTTGTTTATACCTTGAATGATCCATTGACTGCAATCATTTGTTTTTTTCTCTTTGTCCCCTTTTCCACAGCGAATAAAGGTTGTAGTATGTTGACGGCGAAACAAGGCAGGTTAAAATTGCAGAGAACGACTACGACTACTTATTCCCGCCTAAGCTACGTACTTCGGATATGACTAGCGCTAACCTCAGATATCAACTAACTTGGATACATTATTATACTATCCCTTGGAGCGTGCCAGTCTGAAACTGTTAATCTAGAGTTCCGCAGCATATTTGCCACTGGAGACTAATAAATACCCAGTCTTAGACAACTTCCACTCGCTTAGCCGCGGGATACTCTCCATCAAATGACCTATCAATATCAATACGTAGAACTCTAGGCTGTAAGACAGAGACATGTTCAATCCGTTGTTCTTCAAGTTGTCCGATCACTAGGTACTAGGTACTATTCTTGTAGTCATACAAAACAATTCCGTATTCCCAGAAAACCATACTCCACTATATCTTCCGACGACATAATGGGATCATTGCAGTGTGCAGCTCACAGAAGGTATCTAAGAGTTATCACCACAAGAAAAGACGCCTGATATTTCGCCATCACGGTAAGCGTTCTTAATGCTTAGGGTGGTTGCATAGGTACCTCCCACGATTATCAAACCACCTGTGATGATCATAAACCATGCAAATGCGAATCCGATAGCATTTTTCCAGCCACATTTAGCGGCCCTAAACGCATCGACGGACCAATGATTCGCTGATGTTGAATTGTCCATGTTCGAAGACAGGCTTCCTTCAAATGCTTTAACTGGCTTCCTTCCAATAAAGAAGAGCATCATAAAGCCAGGAATAATGTTCGTGAATACCGGATTGAAAAGTGCGCCAACCAGACTCAGAAAGTCGTCGAAAAAGGGTACAACACCGACGATAATAAAGCCAAAAACCACCGTGACAGTCATAGATCCAATCCACACAGCCCAGTGTACCATTGTGTTTGACTGTAGATGACGCGTACCACGTAGTATTCTCACGAATGAATACTTTGCCGCAGTGTGACTGTATAGAACAGCCGTAACCAACAAGCCTGGAAGGGCAATCCCGTAAGCGATTTTCTTGATCAGCGGGCCAGCCGACCCCAAGGCGGGACTAGCTATGTACTGGCCAACCTTGCCATAAACTATAGAAGCGATCACAATATTTGTCAGAATAATGAATGATTGGCCGCAAAGGAGCGATCGAGTAAACAAGTGCGGATGCTTCATCTCGGCCGAGATTGTGAAGAATGTTCCAGATCCGCCGACAGCAAATAGCTGATTAGCGATTGCAGACATTGCTTTGATGAAGGTAGTCTTCGGGAAGGCGCGTATATCGAGATTGATAGGCTGATCTGGTACGGCCGCAGCTGGTCGATCTTGAGTCAGGCATGCAATTGCGGTGACCCATACGGAGGCGATAATCCCAGCCACACCCACCCAACTGATCCAGGACACTTTTTCCAGAGACCTAAAGCCGGTACCAACAACCAACGAGAAAACACAAGCAACAGCGAGAAAGATCATGGTGCATGTTGCATGGCTAGATACAGCGTTGAGAGCGACCGATACCGCGAGCATCCCAGCACCAGCGACCAAGGCGACATAGATATAGTAGATCACACCAACAATTTCCCGTGCTGCTTTGCCAAAGAGCAACTCTGCCGCATCACCAATGCTGTGCATATGTGGATAATACTGTCTGGCATTACCACATACATAACCAGCCACGGTGCAGATCAAGGCCAAGACGAGGAAGCAAAGGATACCGGGAAAGAAACCCAAGACGTGGAACGTGGAGGGAAGACTGAGAACCCCAAGTCCAATCTGTAATTTGGTGACGAGAATCGCCGCACCTTGCCATGAGACTCCACGGAAGTCGACTTCGCCATTCTCATCATCAAATAGATCACCCTGTGCCTGGGTTACAGGTTTCAGAGATCCGATGGAGTGCAAGTTATGACTGACGCCAGTTCCCACGTCGGGAACTTCGTCTTGGGTGGTCTCTTTGTTGATTTTGTTCATCGTAGAATAGTGAGCTCGGCAGATAAAGAATATGAATATGAATTGAGCCCAGTAACCAGGGGCATTCCGATGTCTATATTACTACTGCGCTAAGTCTTGTGGGCTGTGGGGAATGCCTTTTGCCTTATCACCCCAGACCTTATTTTCTCTTATCCCCTCTTATCCCCCTCTTATCCATTTATGACCTCGGAGTGGACCCCCGAGCCTGAGTCCGAAGTGATAAACTATGGATAGGCTTCGCAGAATGCGGGGGATGGTGGCCAGGTGGAGTAGGAGCTTATCTGGAAAACACCGCTATCGCACAGCCCTGGCAACAACATGGAAACACATCCGTGACCGAGCATTGCCAATTATGTTAAGTTGTCACTTTGAACGGGTCCTCTACAATCAAGGCAGATTTGTAAAGGTTATAGAGACTTTTCTCAATGTATCCTTGTTTTATCGACCTTCAAACACATCCGAAAATATCCTTGTCAGTCAACCAAATGATAGAGAGATACAGACCGAGGATAAGAAATGGAAGGCTATTTTTATTTTTATTTATTTTTACCTGCACTCTGGGCCATGGTATCCGAGGTTAAGTTACCCTCTACTGAAAACGATCGGAAGGGCGATCCGACTGCGCATGTAGTGTTCCGTGATATCAAGGTTGATATTCGAAAATCACCACGATCGAATTGTTGGCATGCTCATTCATGCGTCTCGTGTTTCCTGTAGTTAATACTTACGGAGCTTACCAGACAAACAACTGTTCAAGGCTCCTCAAATTAAATCAAGAATCTAATAAAGGTATCCAACAGCCTGTAAGTGTCTATCCTTGGACACTACTCAATCAGTCCAGAACATATTTTGTCGTACGATGGCAGAATAGATAAGAACCGCATGGATCGGATAGTGTTCCCGAGGCTAATTTCCTCGCTCAGCTATCATCCAACCTGAGTTGATATCCCATATTCCAACTTCACCCAAGCACCATGTCCGAAGGACACAATCTTTCCAGAAAACTCACTAATGCGTGAGTATAATGATTGGGTTGCTAACAAAGCAAACTGACACCATACAGATGCCAACATTGCCGCGCGCGAAAAGTGAAGTGCTCGGGAACACCCCCATGTAACAGCTGTCGAAGACGTCGGGAAGAGTGTATTTTTGCTGAGGACCGGCGCATCTCAGTCTCAAGAAGGTAAACTATCCCATACATTTGAAGCAACGAATTATTTCTTGACACTTCAAAGAGAATTCGTAGCCTTGAAGCGCAAAATAAGTCAGATTGACCGAGATGGAGAAAGGCACTCTCAGCGGCGAAAAGATTCCAGTGAGCCCCAGCACCCTAATACCCACTCATACCGCTCATAGATCTGCAACAAACTGACATTCCTTATTAGCCCCGGAATTAGGAGACGAACATCTCTCGCCACCAAAACCCAACGACGCGAGATCCAAGCCAATCCATCAGCTGGAGAATAACATGCTTGTTTCACCGCCATCCTTTGTGAAGCGAGAGGGTCAACGGCAACATGTTTGGTGTTCGTTACTTTATCGATGTTGTCGGAATGAGGGCTGACAAGTTTTAGTTTACCAAGGACCAACCTCAAGCTGGTCCTTCACCCACCGAATTCTGAAATCACTGGCAAAGGCACTGTGCCCGGACACCCCTCTTGATCTTCCTATAATCACAGATAGAAATGCATATCAGGTCCAATGGACAAAGGCCCAGTCAAACGGGATTGCCGACATCACTGCCCTACCCTCGCAAGACCATGCGATCTATCTTGTGAATACAGTCAATTTTCACATCGGCCACTTCCTTCATCTCTATGACGACGAGGAATTTATGAAGAATTTAGATGAGTTTTATGGGGATGTTCAGCAAAAGGTTCAGAAATCAAAATTATGGTACATTCAGTTTTTGGTTGTCATGGCCTTTGGGGAGACTTTATTGTTGCCCGCGTCAAAAACAAGCCAGTCATCAGCTTGTTCTCCATACTTCACAAGAGCAATGTCGCTGCTCCCAGACATAACCGAAATGTGGAATGACCCTATTCTATCCGTTGAACTTTTGGCCTTGGTTGCTCTATACCTCTACTCGCTGGACATGAGAGACTCCAGCTGTTGCTATGTAGGTTTGATATGAGCAGCATCATTGCCATCGCTCTAACATAAACAAAAGATAGGTCAAGCAATGCGAATAGCCCTTATTGAGGGTTTTCACAGAGCCCTTCCAGTCGAATTGGAACCAAAGCTTGCCAGCAGGTGTACGAATATATGGTGGTCGGTCTACATAATGGATATCAAATTCTCGGCATCAGTGGGTGTCCCAAGCTCTGTACGGGATGAAGACGTGACAGCTCATCTTTGGGATCCAATGATCTCTGTTAAAAGAGCTGCTGGTATCAGTCTTCATGTGAAAGTTTCACAAGTAATGAGTCGAGTTTTGAATAGTGCGCGTATTGAGACCACATGAAATTGATTAAGTACTAACCGAAATCCTCTAGATGTCTACAGTGTGGACAACAAAATACACAGCATTTATCTTCACAAAGCCCAATCGGCTTTATCTCGAATGGCAGACCTCTCCCGAGAGTGGGAGGAAGTTTTTGAAAAAAGGTTTCAAAGCCCAGCCGACGCTGTTTCTGGAATCACTACTCGTCTCAATTTATCGTATCATCTGGTACCTCCCTCCGACCTAGATGAGTCGTATTAAAGGTCTGACCCGAATTGGTAGTGCGTTATTATCATAGTCCGACCGCTCATACTATCTCTGGTGGTTGAGCGAGTGGAAAGCCTTTCCGGTGGCCTTTCCACGAGACAACTTAGCCCATCCGTGCGAACCTTGATTGAAACATGCGTGGACTCCGCCAAGAAGTCGGTGAAAATCTTGGCCGTTCTTCATGAAAAGAACTTGCTTCGTGGGTTGTCTTCGCAGACTCCTGGAGTACTTCGTTGCTAACACTGCTCGCCAATAGAGACCTTTCTTCCCTTTGACCTTGAAAATATTTTTGCATCTTTGTTTACCCTGAAAGTGGTGTCGGCTATTTTGCCTCAAGAATTTCATGAAGAGTCTTACCGAGTTGGGAAAGCCGTTTTGGAGGATCTCTGTTTGAGGGAAAATCGGATAGCCTTATTTCGACAACGCGAGCTTGAAAGCTTGGAATATCTGATCAACCTCATCCCTGTCACCATCCCAAGCTCTAATAACGAGCCCTGTGATCCTGCCCAGAATACTGCCCTTGCCTTAGAAGCAACCCAAGATGATGGAGAGTTTGAGGGTCTCTTGGACCATGGCGTTGATACCTCCGGTAATGACATTGATTCGAAAACCTCACACATTACGATGAACGCTCCGGATTTAGATGAACATGGTGGCCTCGATTGGTTCCATGAACCAGATGGGGTTGGGCTAATGTCAGAGCAAATACTTTCAGTGATCGATCAGCTTGATGTTGATGACTTGCAAATTCCAGGATCCCCATTTGTCGACACGGAGAACTGGTTCTGGAATGCTACTTGAGGTCAAATTACGGGCAGATCTCGTATTAGTTTCAATAATGCTAGTGATGCTATACTATTTCCATCCAGAGAATAACTATAGACAGGGCTGTAGTGAAGAGAAGGCTTGGAGCTAACACCCGTTGACATCACCGGCAGGTCACAAGTCATCGCTATATGTGAGTGATCACAATGTGGATCATGACCAGAAGTCTGGATTGATTGTTGTGCACTTTCTGTAAGCTAGGTACAAGAGTAATAACATAAAGATTGGCCGTAAATATTGTTCTCATGTTCTCATGTTCTCATATTTCATGATGAAAGTCGGAACACCCGCCGCAATAGCTCCCCACGTAAGGCTTTGGCCATGTTTTCGGTTCTTTGGACAGCATCGGTATTTTCCACCGCTCGGCGGTAGAGATTCTGAACCAACTCACTCGTGCTACCCCAGGACAGACATTTGAAAACTTTTGGAGCAGACAAACGAGTCTTCTCGTCGGTTGATTGTAAATCTTCCCTTCGGTGAATGAGAAGCTCGCAGCTCACGTCATCGGCCATTCCCATCAATTGGCCATATTCAACATAGACGGTTGGCATCTCATCTCGAACCCGATGGGAATGCAGAGAATAAGCTTGTCTAATGGATGACACATTGTGAGATGCCACAAATAACTGAACTTTAGGAAAGACACCGTGGTCACCATCGACTGGGAAATCTTGACGCAAGAGCGAGCTAACAATTTTGTTGTAGGCTTCGTCGGTCTCCTCCTTCGTATCATGAATCCGTGACCTGGGCTCATTGGCAATATAGGCGCCACGGACCAACTTGATCCCCAGTGTCCAATCGCCATTTTGGGCAGCGCGCAGGTGACTCAGAACATTCTCGCGGGATGATTTGAGATACGCTTGAATGGTATTATAAACGAGTGCTTTACCATCCCGATTGTGTCTCTTCATGAGATCAATGGCCCAACGGTCCAGAGTGGGTTGTAAGTGTGTTTGCTCCGCATCAATCCAGATCCTGGATCCCTGGCTCCGTGCCTCATTGCAAATCTCGTCCATTGCGAGCTCGATTGACTTTGGAGGCAGTGCTTCCCCTGCGAGACACGCATCGACTGCGATACGACCCGCTCCGGTATATCTGGAAAAAAAAAGCATCGAATGTCAACATTGAGCAAATGTGGGAGTACAACTGTGGACATACTTTATAGCAAGGAAATCGCCACTGTCGAGCATTCTCAGCGTACGGAGTGTGTCTTGCTTCCACAGCTCAATATCTCTCAGTTCTGCCTTTGTTGGATTGTCTGTTGGCCGAGGTGTTCTTCCTTGTGTCTCCACGACAATCTCTCTGGCATAGCCTAGAATAACGCCGGTAAAGCCTTGATCTTTGATATGCCGAATTGTTTTCGTGACCTCCTTTTCATTCTCCCCGGCAGCAAACTGCTTATAAAACGTCGGTCGCAGGAGCATTCTGACCACAGGGTTCCTGTCCGGACTAAAAATGAAGGCATTGGGATTGGCCACAAGTTTCATAAAATGCATTGCTGGTTTGAGAAGGGCTGTTGACATTATTGTTGTAAATGCCAGAGATCGAAGCAAAGCACCTGTGGGCATAGCTGCTAGAGGCGGTAGCTTCGTCATAGCACGCTCAGCCGAGCTATTGATATGTGCTCTGGCTACCGAGATATACCTCCTTTGGGGCGCAGACTGTCTCAAAAAGACATTTCTTACCTCAGCGGCTGGCGGCCGTGCCAACAGAGATTTGAAGATCGGTCTCATGTTACTCAATGCTGAACTTGTGATTTCGAGAAAGACAACTTATCGACAGTAAAATAATACTATGGAGCCAGAAAGAGGCGAGTATGGCGTCCTTATGTCTCAGAGCCTGGGGACGCTTTATCCTACGTAGCACTAAATCCCAAGTTGGAGTATTGGGCAGTCAACCGAACTACTATCTGAGGCATGATGTTCTCCGAGGATGATGGACTTTTCTTCCTTGGTCATTTTTCTCCGAAAATTGTGTAGATGATAAGGCATCGGTAGACTTGTCCGAGCTTTGTAGTGCCGAATTGGTGGTAATCGGAGTTCCCCTCTTTGTCCGCTTTTTGACATGATAGGACAATCTATGAGTCTAGCTTGATAACACCATCTTTGAGGGCCAACCGTCTGGAGAACATTGCGTTGCTGGAACTCAGGATATCAGAAATCACATTGTTTGTATTCCATAGATGACCCCCCTCACCTTCCCAGGTGGGCATTAGGAAGCTCCACAATTATTCATCTGACCCGTGGATGATGCTGTTTACTATGTCTCTCTTCTCCAAAATCAAGTAGTTTCGCTATTAGACTATATCGATTGAACTCCATTCATATTTATTTATGTCTAGTCGGCATACCCTTTCAATGGTGGAACCATTTAACACTATAACCCTCATCGCATATGAAGGTAGAGGGAATTGGTTTGGGTATATATATACACGTAAACAAACGAAGACTAACTTAAGCTACTGGTAGTACAGTAGGACTACACTTCTCTTTTATTTCTTTGGCGTTGAAACAGAATGAATTCATTGAGAATCTCCCACAAAAACTGCGCATGGCCATGCCTCTATTTAGACACATCGCGGATAACTTCGTCTATTATTAGCGTATAGTAATGGCCCATATCGTGTTAATCATTTCGAAAGGCCAAAGCACCAGGGCTTTCAGTGGTGTAGTAAGCATTCAGTTAACGATTAGAAAATGACATAATCTTCGGAATCCATCCATTGATGGATTGTTCTTTGACCCTTTGTCCGAGATTGGATCGGCCTTCTGGCCAACAGGAAGGCTCGGTGGGGAGCTCCGAGGATTGCCAATGGCGTGGGGAAGCCCAGGCGAAAAGCTATCTTGAACCAACGAGTGTAATCATAGCAGAGGTCGGCATCACCGAGGTGGAACTTGCCCACGGTTCCATGCTGAGGTTCATTACTTTATCATTGCACTCGCTAATTTGAGAAATCGTATAAGAGATGGACGTGGTAGGGACGAACACAACCCCAAAACACCAAACTACAAGCATCTTTTCTTCTTATTCCTTTTATCCCTATCATGCTAAGCACTATGAGAACCTCTCGTCCCATCTTGCTGCGACGGCTCAAAGTTTCGTCCGGACAGCGTGCCGCTCTATCTCTTTACAAGAAACCTCCATTCTGGAATGAGCCAGAGGTTAGTCAGACAATCTATCTTGATCGCTTTACTGTCTCAATTGCTAATATATAAGTAGAAGCAATATGCCAAATTCTCACCTGAGAGGGCTGAACTAACCAAATCCATTGCCGACTTGAAAAAAAGCTTTCCCGTCCATATCCCTCTACCAATTAGCAAAGGGGTAAGTGACCAGCGATCAAACCTTTCGTAGCCAAATCACTCAACTGACAATGCACTATCTCTCCTCTAGACTTCCGGTTCTGCCACAATTGAACAGCGCAATCCATCCTCCCACAAGGATGTGATTGCGAACTGGCAACCTGCCTCTGAACAGGATGTCGAGAATGCTATTGCTTCTGCGCTAAACGCGAGAACCTCCTGGCAGGAACGGTCTCTAGAGGATCGCGCAGCTATATTCTTAAGAGCAGCTGAGCTGGTTTCGACTAAATACCGGTCTGAGCTTATTGCTGCAACAATGCTTGGCCAGGGCAAGAATATCTGGCAGGGAGAAATCGATGCTGGGGCGGAGATCTGTGATCTACTTCGGTAAGATATTAGTGACCTATATCTAAAGGATGTTACTTATACCTTTCAGATGGTATGTGCAGTGTGCATTCGAGCTCCATTCACAACAGCCCGCTATCAGTGCACGTGGAGCTTGGAACCGACAGGAATATCGCCCCCTGGAAGGATTCGTCTATGCTGTATCACCTTTTAACTTCACTGCTCTTGGAACAAACCTTGCTTTTGGTCCTGCGTTGATGGGAAATACGGTGATCTGGAAGCCATCAAACTATGCTCTGCATGCAAGCTGGCTGCTTTACAAGGTCATGCTAGAAGCAGGAATGCCCCCAGATGTGGTACAATGGGTCCCTGGTGAGCCTGAGATGGTAACTCGAGTATGCCTTTCACACAAGGAACTTGCTGGGATTAGCTTTACCGGGTCTACCGAGGTATTCAAAGGCCTTCTTGGCCAGGTGGGTCAGAACACTGCCAAAAACGTCTATCGCCAGTACCCTCGAGTCGTCGGGGAAACCGGTGGTAAGAACTTCCACTTGGTTCACAAGAGTGCCGATATTGATAATGCGGTCAATCAAACTATCCGTGGAGCTTTCGAATACCAGGGTCAAAAGTGCTCGGCTACCTCCCGCGTCTACGTCCCCGAGTCTGTCTGGCCAGAATTCAAAGACAAGATTGTCGAAAAAACGAAGCTACTCAAAGTTGGAAACCCGGAACAGTACGATAACTTCGTTAATCCGGTTATTCATGAAGCATCCTTCGACCGTCTGGCCTCTGTCATCGAGAAGGCAAAGTCAGACTCTTCGGTCAACCTGTTGGTTGGCGGGAAGGCCTCCAAGGAGGACGGATATTACATCCATCCCACACTCTACCAAGTCTCAGACCCCCAGCATGAGCTAATGCGGCGTGAACTATTTGGCCCTCTGGCGGCGATCTACGTCTACCCGGACAGTGAATGGGAAGAAGTCATCAAGACTGTGGACTCGACATCAGAGTATGGACTTACTGGCAGTGTATTTGGTCGCGATCAGGCGGCTCTAGCCTATGCGGAGAAGCATCTGAGCAACGCCGCAGGAAATTTCTATATCAACGTCAAAGCTACGGGGGCTATGATTGGTCAGCAGCCATTCGGAGGCACTCGTGGTAGTGGAACCAACGACAAGGTTGGTTCAGTCAATGTGGTCAGCCGATTCGTCAGTGTCCGAACTATCAGTGAAAACTTTGGCAGCCTTTCGCAGGTGGAATACCCTAGCAATGAGGTTTGATCCTATTGCCATGCCATAGGGGATTGGATATTGATCGTGGGGGATCAGTCTCATTTCATTCTTTTCATGATTCGAGGTAGGGGGCTTTTCGTATTTGCTATACTTCATCAAAAGAAATCCCGCGACATAAATAAAAATATTATCAGATCCTGGATATTCACGGAGTTCGATCCACCCATATGATAGTGATAGATATCCCGAGCAGTATTAAACGGCTATTCCCACGTCATTTGAGAATTCCACGTTTGCTAGATCTGCTGCACGGACACTAGATAGTCCATCTTGTATATAGAGGTCAGGGAAGTTGACGCGTGGGATATGCCTAACCCACCTGTGAAGGGAATTGCTAGCTTCCTTGTAGGAGGACAAGTATAACTCCAGTGTCTCGCATCCGAAGTTTCCTCTTCTCAGGTCAATTCTTAGTATAGAAGGTAGACTGCGCTGCCACTTAACTGGGCACATCCCTGCCTCGGCCAGAACGCGGACTTTACGGCCCTTTATATGTGATAACCGGATAAACTTATAACTCTGCCTCAGGGTTGCTTTGGATAGTGAAATTCTACGCTCTGTCTCCTCGCAGCATGCCGCTAAACAATGACTCCAAGCGTGAAAAAAAACCTACATATCGGCTCCGATTATACCATCACAAGAACATGTAACAGATAGAACTTGCGTGTCCAGTCCCCATAAATGGAAAGAAAGCCTTCCTGCCGACTCACTCCAATTAAAATCTGTAGTTGTGCGAGTAATTTCCTTAATTACAGAATATCGTGCAGTTCCATGCCTACTTAGATTATGATCTACCAATTGCGCTCTTTGGGTTTAATCACTAAGTGGGCTCATGGACATCCTGAACACGAATTTATCGTAGTCCCCGGGAAAATACAAGCTCTACCCCACACAGATTCACAGAAATATAACCTGACTTAGGTTTATTTGGGATTTTGGGGCCGGACTCAATGTTAGGCAAGCGAGCTTTTTACAATGTTGTCTTCGCTCCGGGCTACAGAGTTAATGGTAAAGGTAAAACAGCCGTATACAAAAAGGTTTATTTTAACTCTCCTCCTTGCCGTCTTTTGAAAGATTAACTGCGAACGCTAATATGACATGAGAAGAGCACAGCTTCCTTTTGACCAGAGCTCGTCCTTTGGGCATAAAAGAGCAATGCAACTGTATTGAGAGTCTGACTGCTGAAGAAGGGGGAAAGAAGAGGGAGAGACTATTTATCTAGCTGGCAGTCCTGCCAAACAGGGGCAAGTGACACCGATCCCAGCATAATTCCGTTCTTGTTCCCTAAATTTGATTTCTTTACATTCCCCGGTTAAACTCCACTATCTTAGTGTGTGGATGTGCTTCTCGAAACCTTTCTTCCAGGCGATCGATACTAATCGACTGACGCTGGGGAAATACACCAAGCGAGAAAGGCAGAGTGATGATGGAAGTGAAATAGATGAGCGCTAGATTAACAGGCCAAGCGATGGAGGGATGTGCCCGCAGGAACTTGGTGCCCTGCAGCCGATAGTAGATCAGTGGTGTCATGGCCATAATTGGAGTGCAATTTATCACACGGCTAACCGCAGTTTCCGCAACAGCGATAGCAGCAGCTTTTCGGCTTTTGCCTAGGGTCTCTCGTTTGTCCCTCTGTTCATCGTTTGGTGTCAAGTTGTCATGTGTAGCAGGTCTGGCCGGGAAGACATCAATTCCATCACGAATCTCTCCATAACGCATAAGAACGACATTTAGGGCACTCGCACTGGCAACTGCGCTGAAGGGCACTAGGCGGGACAAAATCGTACGTGTGCTGGGGGAAAGCGACTTGAGCCTTGGGACAAGAGAACGGAGACCGAGTGCGACGGAGCATGAGGCCGAGACAGCTAGGAGATAAGATTTCATCAAATCTCTTCTAGAAATTGAATTCGACTTGTTTGCATTTGAAAAGTTGATGGCAACATTCAATGTCTGGTTGGTAATCTGCCAAAACAATGTACCAGAGGCCTTACGAAGTGTATATTGTAAGTTTTGGAACCCTTGTTGCGAATTTGGTGTTTTGACTTACACCTAAACCTGGAGCGAGCATACCGACAGTTACAATGAAATTCGAAAACACATAACAAGACATCCGAAATGGGAAAAATATGGTCTCGCCGGTATCTAATGTTGTTAAAAGAATTAATTGTTCACTCAGAGTTTATTGTGTGTAGTGCAAATACCTGGATGTAATGTAGAGTCGAGCATCCTTTTCGCCCGCCATAATTCCGGTGTCATTTCTGGGACCACATTTTGTTTATAAGATGCGATAAGCTCTTTAGCGCTCTTTATATCGGACTTTGAAGCGAAAAGTGTCCTAGGTAGAGTGAGGGCATGTCCTTCAAGGTACCTAAATTCAACACGATGAAAGTGCATACCTCGGATCAGTAAGTTCTGCAGCATGGCGAACCCGTCCAAGATAAGTGCTTAGGTCGTATTGGGACAGAGGTAGCTCCCGTGAATTTTGCGTCGGCGTCGACATGACTTTGGGTCTCGCGTAAGATGGTGTCTTTTATTTAATATGCGCTCAACATGTTCTGGTGGATCCAAGCGGGCAATGATCAAATGGGAAAGGGACTGCTCTGCTAAATTCTCCTAGACAATGAGATACGCCAATCTAATTCAGAGGAAAAGGATGTTCATTCAAGCTTCTCCGTGGCCGTTAAATGGATTATATATCCCTACTTTGTCTGTCTTTGTTTGCTCGGCAACAGGTATGTCCGAGCTTAGGGCAAGACGCGAGGCTCGGTTGCCTCATCCGTGTTTTCGGAATAATGGCACTCGTTACATAATATTCAACTGATTGGATGAGTTTGATACTTAATATGTTCTAGTATTACTAGAATATTTTCATGGTTGTGCGGAGGAATCTAGTGTGATCTGTAGGATAGCTCCCGGCAAGCTGATTATTACGGAATCCCATGGATCAACGATTTTTAGAGGAGTAGTGACATTCTTCATTTGTTACTACCTCCATTACCCCAGATTCCCTGTATCTCTCTTGCATTTAGACTTGGAAATGACGGGAGAAAGGTTTACGTATCTCGGTGGCGACCTCCGAACCATGCATTGTGGAGATGTTGACCGGCGAAGGTCCTACCAGAGCCTTCGGGTTTGCACTGGCCATTTGACTTTTCGTCTTTTAAAAGTGCCAAAAAAAAATTGAAAGGAATGAGATGATAGCTAAGTTTTTTTCGTATACCCTTGTAATTGCACAGCTGGTCAGCACCTGTATTACAGCAGATAAAATGGCCACTTTATGGATGACACCTAAGTTCACCCAGGGAAACTGAGTATATGTACTGATTTTCAACCAGGTAATTCAATTACACCGGGTGCAGCCTCTAGGTACGCTCCAGAGACAAGCTCATGCGAGAAATCACAACATTACTATAGAAAGCCCTCTTTTCAGATATTGCCGAGGAGTTTTCCCTATATGGTGCGCACAACAGTAAAACAAAACATTTTACGTTCTTCCAAGCAAGAGACTTCAATTATCGCAAATCTGTTCTTGATAAGTTGTCATGTTTAGCATTGATTACTCTCGGGGGGAGGGCCTAGGGTTGAAAGACCCCGAACAATGAGCATCGTACTTGACTAATGCTGGTGGCTAGTGATTACAGAGACGTTTGTTAATACTATCTATTAGGAGGAATATTAATGAGATTGATAGTCTCTCGAGCTTCGTATTGACTGCTTGGCGGTTATTCCTGGGTCTTTCTAATCACGCTATCTATTGAGTCGGCAACTCTGATCATGTTGCCCTCGTTAAGACCAGCGACATTGATGCGACCAGTCCAGGGAAGATAAATATGTCGCTCAATTAACGATTCAACCTGGCTCTCAGAAAGCCCAGTCAAAGAAAATAACCCTTTGTCCTCCACAAGGAACTTCCAATCTCCCGGGGTCTTCCTCACAACTGATAGCTCATGATATAGCCTTTCGCGATTGCTCACCAATCTCTTCGCTGCTCCAGCTAGCTCTCCTTCCCATTCCTCTTTCAAAGCTGGGTTTTCCAGAATTGTTTCTGCCAATCTAGCCCCGTATGCAGAAGCAGAAGAAAATTCCCAGCGAATCAGGGCTCTCAGGGCATCCTTGACGCTCTCTGCAATACCGATATCATGGCAGGCAACATGTAGCACGCCCGTTCTTTCGGAGTATAAGCCCATGTTCTTTGAAAAAGACTGACAAACCAGCACGTCTATGTTTTGCTCGACGAAATGCCTGACACCCCAAACATCGTTCATACCGCCGTCAGGCTCCGTTGTGCCAAGACCTTGATATGCAACATCGAAGAAAGCAAGATGCTTCTTGTCCTTGAAGGCATATGCAAGAGTTTTCCATTCTTCCTTCTTCAAATCAGAGCCACTTGGGTTTTGACAGCAGCCTTGAAGAACGAATATAGATCTCGGCGGTGCCGTTTCGACAGCGCTCAGAATGCTGCCCATATCAACGCCCCTATTTCCGGTATTAAGATAGTTATAGGTTTCGTGTGGAATTCCTGCATGAGTGAAAATTGGAGGGTGGTTCGGCCAGCCAGGTGTTCCAATGTAGACGCGAGTCTCTTCATTCGCGAAATGCTTTTGCAGAAACACAGCACCAATTCGATTGGCTCCTGTTCCGCCAATTGCTTGAACAGAGGCGATCTAAATAAGATATGGCGTTAAAGTAGCACTTAGCTATTTCTGTGCCATAATAGCTCACTTTCTGCAAGTCCGCGGCATCACCGAACATCAATTTCGCTGCCAGCTTCAGGAACGACGGGATCCCCGTGGTTGGATTGTACTTTTTGCTCTCAATGATTAGCGATCTGGGACATCCCGGGATTGTTAGGCGGAACCCTTCGTACATCGTGACCCAGGTTCTTTTTTGTCAAGATCTCTTTCGCCTAGAACGCTTGATATTAGCGATCTTTTGTTTTTATAGAATCGTAACTTTTAGACTTGACAACTCAAAACCAGGTAAAGTGGACTTTGGGGATCAGTGTACACCCTGGAGATAAATGTGCGGAATGTTTGAGAAACTATTATACCTTCTTAATTGCTGGGAACTCATAATAGCTCCCCTGCTCGTTCCGGTATAAACCCACACCAAGATCGACCTTCTCCAAATGCGTGTCTGTATCTGCCTTATGTTTAAGAATATTCATGAAGTCCTCGGGAGGCTTCGAAATAGACGTAAATAGGGCCATTTTGTGTCGATTAGTAGAGAATCTGTAGAATAGATCAGAGTAAACAGGAGCTTAGGGAGAATGAAGCAACATAAATAAATTTAAAATCGTGACGACCGTTAGGGTTAATCATCCGAAGAACTTAGAGCCTGTAGAATTCGGAGAAGGTATCCGAGTCGTCTTTCGCCGAAATAAGGTAGTGGTTGGTACTCCCGAACGTTGCCCGAGGATGCAGCTCGGTGATAGCCTCCATCGTGAGGCTAATTCAAAGTTCATCATGTTGTACTCTGTCAAGGTCTCTTGACCTGCACTTCTGCGGCTGTTGCAGAACGCAGATCCTAGAATCCAACGCCTCTCTTCTAGAATGAGTCCGAGGTACGTATACTTCGTAGCTTCGTGTAAACTTAGACTTGAAGGACTACCAGCGGGGTTTGTTGCTCTGTTTATATTGATCAATAGCTTACTGAGTAATTTGCATTCGAATTAAATGTCTAGTAACCGCATCATAGTCGTGGTGGTGGCTGGAATCAATAGGAATACTGGCCCTTGCAGGGTTTCGTTCTCTCTATTTAATTTCACTGCTTTAGGAGCCAATCTCGCCTTCGGCCCTAGTCTAATCCAAAACACCTTGATGCGGAGGGACATATTTTGATGAACTGATGAGATTGTAGGTACGAGACGTTAATTTTGAAAATTGCTTTCCATTTGTTGTTTCATTATCTTAACAGATCAAACAGGAAGGTACTTAGGCGGGCGCTCTTCTTGCTCTTACTTGGCCCATTGATACTCCATAGTCCCACTGAAATCGAATCGGGGTTCAATAGGTAGATATGCCTCCCCTTGGCCTCGGTAGTCCGGTGGTCAGGTCCGGGGGTCTCTATGCCACCAAGACCAAATCTCCGAGATTGCGAGACCTAAAGCCAGCTCAGAGCTTCTCGGTATTCCTGTCCGAAGTGGTTCTGTGAAATTATTAGATTAACTCTAGTTGCTTTCATTTGAACTATCTTTTTAAATTTTCACACTCAAGATCTTTCATCGAAACTCGTCCCATTGACTATACGAGAATCAAAGTTTTCCCTCCCAACATTATGTATCCGACGGCTGTGACGACAAGAGTTGAGAATCCGCGATTGCGACTTCTTAACATGCTTCGTGAAGGATCGAAGCCTATAATGACTTTCATGGGGCTGCCGTCGTTTCGCACTGCCCAAGTTGTTGCACTGAGTGGGGTGGATGTAAGTATGAAATATACGTCAATGAAATGAGACTAATAGCCATACAGGCCATTATTATTGACTGCGAGCATGGCCATATTAACGACGATTCAATGCATACAGCGACTGCTGCGATCGCAGCTCAGGGTGTGTCACCGATTATTCGTATACGGATGACGCATCCAGACTTGATCAAGAGAGCTCTAGATGCAGGTGCACAGTAAGTGAGCCAAAATTCATGGGCGGTGTCCAGGAGCTAAAAGTGTTGTTAGTGGAATTGTTGTCCCACAAATTAACACGGCAGAAGAAGCGCAATCTGTAGTCTCTTATGCAAAGTTCCCTCCGCAAGGACTTCGAGGACAGGGCTCACCCTTTCCGGGGATCGCTCATGATACTAGTATCCCAACATACATGAAGACAGCAAATGAAACTATAATCACCTGTCTACAGATTGAGACCAAGGAAGGTCTTGCAAACGTTGATTCTATCTGCGCCGTCCCTGGAGTCGGTAAGGCTATGAGCAAACGGGTTAAGAAGAAGACGCTAACATCTTCATAGATATGATATTCATAGGGCCAAATGATCTTGCTCTTTCACTTCTCGGGTACGTCCCGGCAAAGGGTGATGAGCCTGAGTTTGTTCAAGCAATAGATAAAATCGTGGAAGCAGCCAGAAGTCACGGAAAATGGGTCAGTCGACTATCAAATGATGGGAACGCAGGCAAAAATCACCTGGAAGTCTTTGATACTGTTGCATTGAGTTATGATGTTCGAGCCATTCAAAACTGGTACAAAGCCGAGTTGAAGACTGCTCGCTCGTGATGCTTGGAAGACTCTGCTCCGGGGGATTCTTCCAGTAGCTTGATGGGGTGTTGAACCTAGCATCGTTGAGAAACGCAGACAATTTCGCTGTTTTGACTGTCTATGTGGATATAGCTAACTAACGATTATCATACACTTTTATGTAGAGCACACGCTATCATAGCGATCTATAGATTTTTTTGGCTAAAACCCCTATAGTTCTACTATGTCCTTAACTAGGCAAATAATACTTCTTCTAGGTGGTATAAATTCTTATAATATATCGATCTTTCTTAGTCCCTGCTTAAAAACCTTTCCTATAATAAATTCTATTAAATTCTATTAACTCAATAATATTCTAAAGTTAGTACTCTAAGTTTATATTATGATAAAAAGACTTTTATAAAGACTTTTGAAAACGACCAGGGAAAAAAAAAAAACGACCAAAGCCGCATATGCGACAATTCTGGTACTATATATCCTTTAAAATAGTACCTAGTTATGTTGTATAGTTATACCCTTCACCTGGACATGTCGATCTAATCTCTCTTCCTCGGGGGCGGGTATCCGGCAGACTCGGGGTGGCAAAAGCGGAATGTGAAAGGCTTAGTCAACCAATTAGAGTGGCTGATATTCACCTTATTCACCTTATCCTCGGCCTCTCCCAATTCCCTTAAATTCCACCTTTGGATCTTCGAAGGTTGTTCCTTGTACTTCTCTCCATCTCTCCTTCTCCCTTTCGCTACCTCAAACATGTCTTTTTCAAATTTGGTCTCCGACATTGCATATCGCGATGCTCGTGTGGATGATGGCAGCTCGCAAATCTCTCACGCCCGATCTCACCGGTCTCACGCGACCGCTCGGTCATATACCAGCACCGCAGCCACAAGTGTCAGCATTGCTGGCGAAGTTTCCAGCCAGTTACATTCTGGATACAGCCATCCCCTAACTAGAGCATGGCAGGCCGACAGGCAATTGACAAAGGTTCGCCCTGACTATTACGAGACACATAATGGCACTGGCAACTCAATCGCTAATACACGGTGTCTATAGGATATGCTCATCTATCCGTTGTTCATCACAGACAATCCTGACGAGGAGACATTAATTCCTTCTTTGCCCAATCAATACCGCCGTGGAATCAATCGCCTGGTTCCCTTCCTCGCCCCCCTTGTTCGGAAGGGGCTACGCTCGGTAATGCTATTCGGTGTTCCGCTTCAGCCATCCGCCAAAGATGCATTGGGAACTGCCGCAGACGACCCCGATGGACCTGTGATTCAAGCTATCCGTCTTCTTCGATCTCGTTTCCCTCAACTTTATATCACAACCGATGTATGCCTCTGCGAGTATACGTCGCACGGTCACTGTGGTATCTTACGAGAGGATGGAAGCCTCGACAATGCGCAATCCGTTGATCGCATCTCCGATGTAGCTATTGCCTACGCGGCAGCTGGGGCTCACTGCGTGGCCCCATCTGACATGAACGATGGGAGAATCCGGGCTATCAAGCTCAAGTTGATCGAAGCTGGTGTGGCACACCGTGTACTTTTAATGTCTTACAGCGCTAAATTCAGCGGCTGCTTATATGGACCATTCCGTGATGCGGCTGGCTCCTGTCCCTCATTCGGGGATCGTCGGTGCTACCAACTTCCCCCAGGTGGCCGCGGTCTTGCCCGACGTGCGATACAGAGAGACATGGCCGAAGGTGCAGATATTATCATGGTGAAGCCTGCCAGCAGCTACCTTGACATCATTCGGGATGCCAAAGATTTGGCACCAGATCTTCCAGTCGCCGCCTACCAGGTCAGCGGTGAATTTGCAATGATTCACGCCGCTGCCAAGGCCGGTGTCTTCAATCTCAAGGATATGGCCTTCGAAAGCACCGAAGGCATATTGAGAGCAGGCGCTGGGATTGTGATCAGCTATTTCGTCCCTGAATTCCTCGATTGGCTTTAGTCATTCACTAAGCTCGCCATTTTTCTCCGCTGCTTACACTTTCTCCACTCCAAAAGTGCGATTTTCGGGCCTCTTATTTTCCGTGTGATTACCATGACTGCATTCCCACATCTGACTTCTATCATGGGTCTGATGTATTGAACATAAAATCCTACTCGAAACTGGATAGATTCCCCCTTTGATGTGACATGATGTTTCCATTTTCTCGGTTGTTAACGATTACCCCTTATTACAATGCTATTAATTTCTTGTTTGCCTTTTTCCTCTCCCTAACCGATAGTGTATCAGACTTTTGCTTTCTACAATTAACAGGTATAAAAATCTGTAGCAGAATCGAATTTGAATTGAGGTAAATGATGTAGAGGCATTGTGTATATATGTACCAAACTAACATCCGGTTCGCCGCATAAAACGCTAATAACATACAAATGTAAAGAAAAACGATTCGTCGGCGACAGTGGATATCAAAATCGAAAGCAAAACGTTTTAAAAAAAAAAAAAAAACAAGCCCAAATGAAACGGAAGATCATAATTTTGCTCCCCCAATCTATAGGCGGCGCGATAGAACGAACCAACACCGCAGCAGAAGGTCATTCGGCATTTCCACGTACAAAACTTAGTACACATCATTTCGTTCACAGAAAGCTAGGTTTTGACCCCTGGAACATGTAACCTGCAATGTTCGAGTTGACAATCTCTCCTGGGGCCACATAAACGCCTCGGGCAAGACGAACCCCTGGGTAGATGATGCACCCGGCGCCCACGTAACAATCTTCTTCAATGATGACTTGTCGACCTTGATACCGACTTTGCGAGCCTTTGCGCTCTTGCATGTTGGGATGAGCAGTTGAACTAATTATTTTGACGTTGGGGCCTATCCAGGTATGGGCACCGATGCGGATGACACAGTCATCCACGAACAGGCAGTTCTCCGAGATCATGACATCTTCCCCGAGGTGAATATTATAACCGTAATGGCAACTAAAAGGAGCCTCGACGACCGCGCCTTGACCGATGGATCCGGCAGAGCGAGCCACGCCAGTTCCAGCTGGTGAGTTGACAATGGAAGATGCCGGGGGCACGATGATCTCCTTCAGGAGGCGGTTTTGCTCTTTCGAACTGATGCCATTGAGCGGATTGCAGGCGTTGTTAAATTTCCATAGTGCGCCTCGGCAGCGATCTCTTTCTTCCACGAGATGGACGTCAAATGGTCGGTAGAGTTGGCCTCTAAGCATTTTTTCCTTCTCGGTCTCGTCACTTGATACGGTACGGCCAGAGAGCTGATGCTCGATACTAAGTGCCATCCGAGCTTGCGCCTGAGGACTATGAGTATCCGCAGCCGCTGCGGGCAATGTTCGTTGCTCCGGCCCATTTTGGAACAAGGGCATGTTAGATTTAGGATGAGATGGATGACTGAGGTCTCGAAGTGAAGAGATGACCGGATAGTCAGGTTTGGGACGTCCTTCCCGCGACAGTTCATGGATGGGTGGAACTTCCCGATAATCGACGACTTTCGCCATAGTTTCAGACGGATAAGGGGGATGGCTGGTATTGGTCCCGGGTCCAGGGCCGGCACCTGGCCAAGCTTGTTTTGACCACGCATGGTTGGATGGTGTAACTGTAGGGCTGGTGTTATATTGTTGCACGGGTCGGTCATTCTCCTCCACCACCAGGGGCCTGATTTTTGTCGCGTCGACATGCTCCGCCAGGTTAGGCCGATCTTGATGTCGAGGTGTTTCTTGCATATACGAGCCATTGATGTCTGAATAGCCTTCTTTGGATTGCAAAGGGATCGGGGCTTTTGTACTAGATGGCTTTTGCCAGGTGCTTCGGGATGAATACCCTTCACATAGGAAGCCCCCACGAAGACAGTTGTTGCCTACAATGCCTCATTAATGTCGCTCCTTCGGTTGAATTTGGACAGGGAATAGTTTATAAAGGAAGGAGCTAGGGCGATCAGGAGTGGACTTACACGCCGGATGTTGCTCGTCACATTTCTTTTTTTCTGCGGCGACAGGTCATACAGCCTGTCTTCGTTCGGTTACTAAATACCCGCTTTCTCTTTGGAGCTACCTGCACTGCTCCATGTCGATCTGGCGCATAACTAGGAGAGGACGGTTGTTGAGCACCGGGGGTCGAGCGATTTGTCGTGGACCTTTCTTGGCCTGTCTCGCGTTGAAGAGCGTCCGCTAGGTGGGCATCCGATGCGTCAATTTGCTGGGCCCGCTGTGCCTGGGTGATCAGCTGAGAATCATATTCTGACCAAGGACTATTGGCGGAAGTTTGGCCCGGATCATTGCCCTCGGACCGATGAGACGGGGTTGCAGAATGATTGCCACGATCTACTTCCGAGACCGATCCTGGCATGCTGGCATTCGGATTGGGCGGGTTACTCTCGGCAGGTCGGTTTGCCGGGCTCCTGGAGGCGTTCGCGGAATCTCGTTCTCGGGACTCCGATCTCTTTCTCTTGTTCTTGTTGTGAGAGCTGGGCGAGGATCTTTGCGACCACTTCTCTTGATCATTGGCAGGCTCATCCCGATCATCCCGATGACCGGAATCTAGATTGGTCTTTTCCTGGGCCGGTGCACGTTCTCCATTAGGGATGGAACTAGGCGTTGGCCCATGGCTAGTCCCATTCCCACTCCCATTCCCATTCCCATTCCCATTCCCAGTCCCAGTCCCAGTCCCAGTCCCGGGGATCACGGATTCCCTGCCATTGACTGCAGTGAATCGGGATGGGCTGTGCTCCGTCGCCGTTTCGGCCCCAGATTCATGACTACCATTCATCACCGTTGCAGCAGCAATAGCCGTCATGATAGGAAGCCAAGCAACAAGTAAAAGGAACCAGAGAACACGAAGAATAGGGCTGGGATTACACCGAGAGGTGCAAGAGGTTATTCAAGTATATGGGTCTAGGCAAGAAGTTGCGACTCAATTGCCCAGAAATAGCCCCCAAATATGAATTTCAAAGAGAAAAAAAAAAGAGAAGCTTTTTCAAAGTCCCGGAAATACCAAAGTACTTCCAATATCTTAGTCAACCCTTTGTTGGGGGGATGTTTGCGTGG